GAAATTACACTGCAAAAAGGTCATATTAAATGCTCCATAGCGCCAAAAAAGCGCATTGACCCCATTCTGGATTTGAATTTTAATTAAGCTATATAAATACGTATATATAAATAAGCTATCAAACATATTGATAAAAAATTCTCAATACTTTTGATAACAGATTCCATTCTAGCTCCTTAAATTTCAGACCTGGTTCCATCCTAAAACCTACAGGTATCATGCCTATGCATTAACTTCATTTCCATGAATTTTCATTTTATAGTAGAGCAACTTTAATGCGAATTTCTAAATTTCTAGCCTGGTTAAGTTTTACAAGAAAATTTTAAACTACCTCAACCTATTTCTAATTTGGAATCCGTTGATTTCCTTTTTGAACGAATCTTATAGGCCAATTTTATTGATGTCATGGAGATAAAACTGTCACCAGAGTCAAGTCTGAAGCCTCAGAAGAAAATCACTTCTGTAAAGCCAAACAAGAGGACGATTGATTAACTCTAGGGAAGTTGTTTTTCTTACTTTTTGCGTCTCTTTTTGTCTTTTGTTTTAAAATTTCTGCGGTTTTACTGTTGCGGTTTTGTTTTTGCTTTTTTTTCTTTTTGTATTAAAAAAATTTTTCAAGATTATTTCACTTGTACTTTACGTCAGAGGTTGATAACTGTCTTTGTATTTGAAAAGAACTGCACATCATTCGTGAAAATTAAAGTATTAAACACTGTATCTTCTATAATCACTAACAGACAAACCGTTTTTACCTTGTAATACCACTTATAATTGAGTCATATTCTGATTGACAATTTCCATACTAATTGTTAGGCCATTATTTACTTTCTTTTTTTTTCCAATCATGACAAGGAGCACGCGGCGGTTGTGACCGATCGGCAGAGGATGTTCACTCCTCCATGGCACCTGATCCCACCTCTGATGTTTTAGAGGCCTGTATTTACTCTGCTTACGATTTGTTTTGTTTCAATGAACTTCGATCATAAGTACTGTGTGGTATATCTCCATATTACCTAAATATGATATAAGGATGCCGTTTACTCAGGTTTCAGAAAACAAAAAGGAAATTTTATAAAGTGTAATATGTCAAATCAAAAATTGTTCTGAATGGATAAAATTACGAAGTTTTAGCTCAATATCAATTTAAAAATTTCATATTTTATTATTTGAAAATATACAGGTACAATGTCAGTGTATGGTAATGCAGAGGAAATTCGGACTAAATTTTTAATTTCTCATTTTTGTCAAAATCTTTTATCTCTTGCAATATATGTCACAATGTAAAGGTTATATGTATTTTTAGACATTATTTTGCAAATTTTATTTGTCTTAAAGCTCATAAATATTTTCAAATGATTGAATGCTATTAAATAAAGAAATTCAAAAATATGAACAAAAACCATTCCAGGCAGCATAACTCAATAATTAGATCATTGACCCCATATAATGTTAATACCATGAGAATTATGGCAACAAAGGTAATATGAGGCTATAAATAATTTAGAGTTCTTCTCAGTCAGATTTTTTAAATATTCGATTAAAAATGGGGAAAAATATAAATATGACAGAGGAAATTCGGACTTTAATGATTATCAAGTTTATGGCCAAAACTCTTATCCTTTCTTTATCTGAAGCAACACTGCAGCTATAATATTTTTTTATTTAAAGAGTTTTGTTGCTTGTAATATATTGAGTGAAGAAAATATTGGTCATAGAGTGGAAAAATTGAGGTATTTCCCGAGAAATCCTCAGGGGCCACTAGCATGAAAAGTAGGTCATTGACCTAGTTATTTGAAATTGAAATTTAACACAAGAATCATAGGTGTACAATGAGCAATAAGTGGTTTTCCGTTCTTATCAGTGGAATTTTTAGTCATCTGAGTAAAGGTCTATACCATAAATGAGAACAGACCAATTATTGACTACATGTATGTTTACTTCATGCATACATGAAAGATCGTTCACGACTTTCCTTGGTAAAAAGACATTTTTGTTATCAAAACAATATTTTTTCCTTGTAAGAATTGCTATTGAGCAAGCAACGTATCTTACTTCTGTATAGTATATTTTGATAAAAAAAAGTGTCTTTTTACCAAGGAACGTCCGTGAAAAATGAATTTTGTTCATGCATACATTAAATATACATATAATCCCATGGTCTGTCCCCCCTCCCCCACCCCCCAGGCACCTGATCACGCCTCTGAAAGTTTGGGGGTTCGTGTTTAGGCCCTGTTCACAGATTTAAATTGTTTCAAGTTTTTTTTTTTTAATCAAGTTACCCATTTTATTTCCATTAAATATTCATACAATATATCTTTAAAGAAAAAAGCCATAAGAAGCTGAAATATATAGTTGATTATCTACAAATCATGACAAACAAAAAAGTTATTTTCTATAACATTTTATAAATAGTTTTTTTTTTAAAAGTAAAATATTTTGATACCATAACAATAAACAAGATAAAAGATATACATAACAATCAACGATCAAATATGCATGGAGACATATCTTTCTTTTAATTGATCATTTACATATCTGCTGCTCAGTCCAAAAAAAAGTGGAAGTCAACTTTGTTGACATATAGAAGTTAGTCTTTGTTATAGGAACAATTTATTATTTTCAAACACAATAAACCTATTAAAAAGTAAAATTTGTCTTCATCTAGCTTACACTGGGAACAAAAAAGGGATGAATTATTCAATAACATATATATTTTTGATATTTTAAAAAAAGAAACTGCAGTGTCATGACATCATGAAATTAAGAAAATAATTTTAAAAATGCAGAGGTAAAAAATTAGTGAAAATCTGCCTATCAAAACCTTGCACAATCCAGTACAATATTTATTATACACACACAACAATAAAGTAAAAATTGCACTGTTCTGGCAATGTAGAGAGACATATGGTTTTATATAAAACATAAAAATGATGAAAATTTCATGATCATTTAAAATGACAGAAAATGGACTGAAATAAAATGATAATATCATGGAAAGGTTGTCATGTGATCATGTTAGTACAAAGCACTTGCTGACTAGATCAATACAATTGTATCAGTGTAGATCTTACAAAACTCTCAAACAGGAATGAAGCATCTTCCCAAATAAACATAAGGCCAATGATCTAACACACTGAAACTAAAATTAGACAAAAGTTTTTTTTTAATATTTCTATTATCCTTAAGCTCATTGCATCAAATGTGAGTAAAAATAATTGAGGAGCTAAGCCTGTGTTGTATATTACACACCATTGTTTTTAATTAACTTTATTTCTGGACACCTCAGTTGCAGATTTATTGCTATTCACCAGTCATTGTTGTTTAATCCTATGATTTGCAAAGTGTAGTAAACAGTTATCTGTATTAATGTAATAGAACACCTTATTTCATTGACTGCAGCTGTTGCAATAATATGAGTTGTGTCTACAGCAAAAATATTGACAAATTGAAAATAAGTGGAAACTCCTGGTAAAGCTTGAAATATACATAGAGTAATAAGGACAAAGAATAAAATCAGCCCTCCCTTTCTTAATTAAATAAATAACAAGCCATTAAAAGCCTCTCTCTCTCTACAACAGAAGACACCTATTTCACACAATCACTGGGTTCTCAGTATAGAGGTAAAAGGTAATGATACAGACATCTGTACATGTAGTTCCACTTGATCAAACTAACACACTTATCCTAACACACTTATCCTATGGAACATGAACAATTCTTACAATGTATAAATACAAACTCCAAGCCATTGCATCACAAAAAGAATCTGCACCATTTAAATAAATTTGTTTATCCATATCTTGAAGAAAAACAATGTTTACATGTTTAATCTAAATAAATAATTACACTTAACATTTGTAATAATAAATAAGAAAAACTAACCTAGATATTATGTTTTCTTAAAAATAGCATGTATTGTAAATACGAGGGTTGTTCGAAAAGTTCGTGGACAACTGTCATATCTTTTTAATTTGACGTCATATGTTATCCAAATGTGGTAGAAATATTTTAACAATAAATCCAAATGATATGTATTAATTTTTTCAAAATATTACGATTAATCAAAAACTTATCCAGATTTTAAAAATGCAAAAATCGGATCGCGGAGCACAGTCAGTTACAGACAATACAATAAATAATGTCTATAGTCATATTCTCTGTAAAATGGAGAAAAAACGAAAAACAACCTAGAAATTCAAATTAAGAATTGTTACATCGATTCGTGTACCAAATTATGGTTTTATATTTTGCTTTGTTGAAGAGAAATCAACTTGAGAAGATAAGTAGTCCTGATTGAAAACGACAAAAATGATGACGTTTAAGAACGTCACGGAGCAGCAGATAACGAAGCAATTTTGTGTTTTTCTCAGAAAAAATCCTGAATAAACTCTAAAAATGTTGAAGGAATCAAGAAAATATGTCACAAGCGAGTTGTGCATGCATGTACAAATAGTACAGGCAATATTTGAGCGACAGAGACGCCGTATCGAATGAGGATGATCTGTGAAGAAACGGTTTTACTGTAAACATCTGAACAAAACTTTAAATATTTGGAACGTAAATGAAAGACAAAGGCGCTTATCCTGTGAAAGCAGAGTTAATTTATAAAAGAAATTAAAAATCAAAAAATGAAAACCGTAACAAAGGAAATTATACAACGAGATCAATTCTTAGAAAATAAACGTCGAGTATTAGAAAAAGAATTTAATGAATGGGCATTGGAATATTCTGTGTGAAATGTATATGGACAGTATCTTTTAGAAATTCTCGACGCTATGTGCTGACGTTATACACTGCCGTTAAGTGTGCTCCGCGGGTACAAAACATGTTGATTTTAAAATGAAGTAATTTTATTTCTGTTTAATCGAATGGAATGAAACTTCACACATCAGCAAAACAAATATTTTCACAGATTATAATGTGCTTGTTTTAAATTTCCAGTGAGTAATATAACGAAGATGGACATCGTCCACGAACTTTTCGAACAACCCTCGTACAAGGACTTCAATATTTTCATTTTAATTCTTACACACCATTTCAATAGTTTTAACTTAATAAGCACCTGCTAACATAATCACTGGACCTGTATCTTGACCACTCTGTTGGGGAGTTCTACAGCACTCACTTTGAGGGGCCACATCCCGCCTATGATCCCCGCCTGTATAGACACCCCCATAGCCACCGCTAACTCAGGGTCCACGTGAGTGTTTTGATCTTTATTGAAAAACTCCCGAATCAGACTACGAATCTTAGGAATCCTTGTGGATCCCCCCACTAACACTATCTCGTCAATGTCGTCTTTTTCTAGATGCGTAGCTTCTAACACAGTCCTGATTGGCTCTAACACTTTTATAAACAGATCTTTATTTAATTCTTCGAATTTATCCCTAGTGATGGTTTCTTGTATATGGGAATGTTTTCCTAGAGAGTGAAGGTAAAGCTTTAGTGGTGTGCTTTGTTGATGGGTCAAATTGATTTTGACCTCTTCAACAGCCAATCGAATGGCTTGTAAGTCCTCCTTGTCTGAAATAACCAGGTTAAACTCTTTTTCTATTAGTTCTTTTACATAATTGTATAATCTGAGGTTAAAATCCTGTCCACCAAGTCTGTTGTTTCCTGAAATTACATATAAAACATAAATTAAAATACTTTGTAGTGCCCACTTATACCTAATTTTTTTTAAATGCCTAAACCTATCACCAGTTTTAATACAGTCCAACACACTTTTAATGAACATACTTAGCAGTATAAAGGATATACATTTGCAGCAAGGGCATTTTTATTCCCCTTGGCTTTTAAATATATTTAGAATTTAACGGATATAATTGATTTAGTAATAGTGTAGCAAAATCAACCATTCCCTGCAGTTCATCATAAGCATGCTTTACTACATATGATAAAAATCATAGATTACATGACCTATTTGATTTGTTGATTTATCATAATGTATATCTAATTTTAATTCTACCTGCCATCCCTTGGGTGAGGAACATCCCCCCTTGTACCATGAGTAGAGACACATCTAGCGTCCCACCCCCTAGATCCACCACTAGTACTGTCTTAAGCTGTGGCTTGGTGTGGAGTCCGTAAGCTAGGGCTGCTGCTGTAGGCTCATTGATCACTCGCCACACCTCTAAACCTGTAGAAGTCATGTCAAAATAGGTAAATCCAGGCTCAGAAAAATGTCATATCTCCAGACCTTTAATAGTTATGTATATATAAAAGTATTACCAAAAAAATACAACAAACTACTGCTATATATACAAAGTTTTCTTTGTTTTCTTTAAATACAAATGTCTTTTTGAATCTCTCACCAGCAATACTGCCTGCTTTCTTGGTATAATTTCTCTGCATGTCATCAAATTCTGCAGGGACAGACATGACACACTTTGTGACAGGGGAAGTTAGGTTCTTCTCTGCAACATTCTTTAGGAACTTAATTAAGATAGACCCAATCTGCTCCGGAGTGAATCTCATCTCTGTTTTGTTGACATTCAATACATACCGCACCATACCAAACTCATCAGCTTCCAGCTAGATTTAAAACAGAGTACAAATTTGTTTACAACTGTCTTACAGGACTGTTATCTAACTGATAAACTTATTCACTGACATCAATATGTTGGCATTTATTTATGAGAATTCAGATTGCAACAGCTAATAGACATAAAAACACCCCAAGTGTAACTAATTCCTAAGATATGAGACTTTTTACTTACTGGTAACCAACAACCAAGCATGAGGTTAATTTGTACAGATGTATATGGGGCATAAATACCATCAACAAAGAAAAACATTATGTTGAATCTGATAATAAAGATCTTATTTGATCCTCACCTTGAATGGGTACCTCTTCTGTGCCTGTGTTAGCTCCTCTGGGCTGTATTTCTTCCCTATAAATCTCTTGGCATCATATATTGTGTTTTTAGGATTGTGTTCAGCCTGAGCCACAGCTTTATACCCCACCACAACGCCATCCTTACTAAATATATATTAATAATGTCTTGTCAAATTCTTCCATTTTCCCCATAAAAGTCTGGTGTTACTAATCAAACACCTTATATCTACAACAAAGGGATATCTACTGGGGATGGACTTATACATGTACCTATTTATATTTCCTAACAAATTTCTCTTTGCTGTGGATCATCAGCAACAGGCAAGTGTATGTATATTGTGGAACATATTCAATATGTATCGTGCTATAGAGTTTATTTTATTGCAGATTTCATCTGAACACCTGATGAACATCTGTTATATACATACTACAGATCTCTGTGCAGAAGCTCTTAAATTGTTAAATACAACCTTAAATCTACACTACTTATCTTGATTAGACTTGAATAGCACCTGATAAAATATTTACTGCACAGCCAAAGTTACCTGAAAGCTACCACGCTGGGGATACATTGGTGACAAAACAGTCAAACTCACCTGAAAGCTACCACACTGGGGATACATTGGTGACAAAACAAATCAAACTCACCTGAAAGCTACCACGCTGGGGATACATTGGTGACCGTCCTGGGCTTCTAGAATGTCCACAGCTCCACTTACTGCATGATAAACGCCCACACAGGAAAAGGTGGTTCCTGAAATCAATCACACACATGCATTACTAAATGTTACATATAAAACCTCACCTTAACCAAGCACTAGCTATCTATCAAAAAAATTTTAATATCTACCAAATATTTATAATAGTATTTATTAAATTTGAAAAATAAAGAAGTTATTAACCAATAGTTATGCTTGGGAACAATAATATGACTACATATATATGCATTATACATGATATAAATAACTGTAATTTCTCAACAACATATACATTTGATAAATAGAATCACCCTGACAAAAATAAAATTGAACTCTCAGTCTCAGTTTTCTTTGGGACTTACTTTATTTGAACATGTACATGTACACAAAGATGTCACAAAATTTGGGCCCTGTTTATTTTGATAAAGGTGATTAGGATGGTAAGTATTGTAAACAGTTTCAATGAATTCTATCTACCTAGATCAATGCCAACTATTTTAGGCTTTGGAGGAGGTAGGTATCTTTGGGCAAAATATCCTGCCAACAGCACAGCTAGAATAGATGTCCCTGCAAAGCAAATTTCAACTTGATAAATACTCAAAAATCCTTGTATTATGTATATCGTTTTCAAATGGATAGAGATAGCTATACACTGACTCAATACTATTTCTCTGATAATTTACATTGTTAATTTAAGCCAGTTTTTTTCATACATACAAGGTGTTCCAGACACATTGAAAGATTAGAGGAAAACAAGCCACAACAGTACAACCGATTTAAAAACGAAAAGAAAAATGAATGTTACACTAGAAACAACTCACCTAGAATAATAAATGTACTACTCATAATATTTCAGTGGAGTTTTGTCTCTGTCGATCCAATGTCCGCCTTTAATTTTGCTAAAACTATATTGACAGAGAAAAAATTAACATATGTTCGTGAAACAGGAAGTGTACGTGTTCATTGCTGAAATGTTAAAAGTCGGGCTGTTGACCGCAGAATTCCGGATTTTCCAAACACACGGGTAAATACTTATACATCTATAAACCCCAAAACTATGCTTTTTGCTGAAAAAAAAAAAAAAAAATTACAATTGAAACTTTAACTTTTTCATTCAGATATAAGGCTACCAGAACATACCTTATGAGTCAAAACGCTCAACTGAACCCCGGTTAATTGTTCTTTAGACAATGATTTTGTTTAACTTATCCTCATTTATTCATAAAATTTGACTACATATTGTGGATAAAAATGAAGTTTGAGAATAAATTCTGCTCGATAAGAATTTATCAAAAGAAGTTGGCTGAGATTGTTGGGAGACCCAGCTCTCAAAGGACCTCTGTAGACAGGGAAGCTTACTCCTCCTAGGCACCTGATCCTACCTCTGGAGTTTTCAGGGGTACGCGGAACATAGACAAAAACTTAATAAAATTTTAATGTACCATGGACATGCAATGCTATTTTTTGTTTGTAAAAATAATAGGCCTAATGATTTTTTTTTTTTTTTTTTTTTGGAATCCAATGAATGAATTTCACTTTCTTTGACTGGAATGTTAAAAAAGGAAAAATGAAGAAAACAAACAGTAAACAATTTTATGACCTCTCGGACTTTTAGAACAGGACTTCCCATAGCCTGAGAAAGACCGCTGAACATTGATATTGAGGTCAAAAGGTCAAAGGTCATGGTCATAAAGGAGTTTTCCACTTAAGTATAGTAGCTTGGTCACTTTTTTCGCCCTTATTTTACACAATGTACATGAGGATATGGTATTATTTTTATTTTCATGGTGTATAACACAGTATTTCTAATTCAATTTTGAACAATCATTATGAATGACTTTGAGTATCAAGAAATTAATACAAGCCAATTTTCAACACCTACCACACAAATTCCGGAACATTTTCTTTCGAACAGAGTGCGGTTTCTCTAATATTACATAAAAATAGGCGGAGACATTTAACTTAGGTACTATATAAAGGAAGACACGGTGAGCTGTAGCGTGAGATAAGAAATAATTAACATTATGTACGATGGATAAAAATAATATTCAATAAGCTTGAATTTTATTTTGCATTATCCGGTAAATTATACACACAGATTTACACTCCCTATTTTGTAAAGGTTGAGCTGAAAAAAATAAACCTGAACAAAACTTTGGTAAAGCAAAATAAAACGAATAGACCCTTCCGAACTTCTGTAGGCGCGGGAGTCAAACTATTACTCATTTTTATTTGAAAAACGAAACATTAACATTAATAAGTGTTTAAACATTCATATCGTAACAGCGCAAAGGCGTAAGAAAGTCTTTTATTTATTTATTTTTTGGGGATGGGGTGGGGTGGGTTGAAGAACTCAAGATTTATCTCTGGAAAGAAGGGGTCACCCCTCCCCCTGATACTACATGCCTGACATGTATATCTATTTCTTAATTTCGCTCTAAATTCTGCAATGAATATCGATTATTGATTCATAGATGTGTTTATATGCACTCCAAAATGTGACAAGAGCGTAAGGTTGCTTTGAATATTGAAGTGGTCAGTATAGTCCATTTGTTTATTTAGACTGATTAAATGTGAAGAAATTGTTACGTCTTTGGTATTTTTTGCTCGCTTGTTTCTTTTTCACAAGAAATTTACATGTATTTATTTACATATACTCGTATATTAAATCGTGTGCTGTTCGCAATATATGCCCAGGAAAATTGCGATTACATGTATGAGCATAAAATATGTCCCTGAAAATCATAAGTGATATTCATCAAATTCTATAGAGATCATTGTTTTGAATGAAAAAAAAATGAACGCTGATGACTGCACTTTTTAAATACTAGGTATATTTGTCGCTTCCTACAGAAAACACGCTTTCCGGAGGTATTTACCTGTGACGGTATAGAATCACGTGACATATTATCTATTCTTAGCAGGCCAACAAGAGGTTAATCCTATGTAAATGTACTCACCGCACACATTCAAAATCATGATACACTTTTAAGTAGAAAACATAGAGCGCAAGGTTGTTCAACAAAGATATTTTCACACAATATGTATGAATATAATATACACATTATAATTTAATCTCGACTTTGAACAAACCTGCGCTCGATGTTTACGAAAGCTGTGAAATGGGTACCTGTCACAAATTTCTTTTGATATTCATGAAAATAAGAGGACTCCACCTTCAAAACACAGCTAAAAATGCGTGTTGTCTATTGCAATTATTTGATATTTTTAAACGTTGGCGCAAACACTACAGACATAAGAGAATAATATGATTTTCTTTTTAAGTTTTTAAATGAAAGTTTAAGATTTGACGAGTAACCAGGGACCACAGATAATGCCTTATTGAGACTTGTTCAAATTTTGTCTGTTTTAACACTTTCGTTTCCTTGCAATATTTCGAGAGGCCTTTGAGGTTTCGCAATGGAATCTTATACTACATTCCCTATGGCCTAAGAATAAACCCTATTGATTTTGAGGTCGTCACACATTCTGTATGTGTGTTAAACTTTCATTTCCGGGCGTTATTTAAACTTTATACTATAACTCCCTATTGCCCCACCCACTCTGAATTAAGGTGCTCCAAACTCCCTCCCTAGAATCACACATGTTCTAGGGGGTTGGGGGTGAGGGGGCAAAGATTCTCTAAATTAGCTTGTTAATATCAAATTTGGACTATATACCGGTATATGTACTACCAGAATGCTTTATAACAAAACAGTTTTGCAAATGACCAATGAAAATATGAAACTGAATTAAAGTGGTGTATATGTTTCATTAACAGATCTGAAAATTAAAGTTCTTTTAAAAAATCCCTTTCTGTTGTATTGCTTATGTATAATATTCCTTATTTTTCGCTTAGTTTGCTAGGATAGACCGTACTCTTGTTTGTTTTGATTTTCTGATACAATGCTTTGTTATTATTAAAAACTAAATACCCATTCCTACAAATCGTTGACGGTAGCACATGGTATCGACGGTACAGAATTTCAAAAATATAAAATTACAGCAAACATTATTTTGTTTTATAAAAAACAACAATTGCAAAACCGTTCTGACGATATTTATTTTGCCATGTCATCAATCGATTTTTGACACTTTGTTTTAACATTCTCCTATAACACAACACCATGTGATGCTTTTAATATGTAGCCACCTTAAAAAAATCTGATTGTTGTCATCGTAGGTAGGAGAGGGTTAGGTTTTCATATCCCCAGCACTGGTTTATCAGAAAAAGGACAATTCCGACTGTAAAACTGAGACTAAAAAACAATGAAACATTAACCAGGTTGTATGTTAATTTACTGGACTTCGACCCTTGGACACAATCTCATTCGGGAAGTGCCTAGATGTTCAATCACTCATTCTACTTCAATTTGCTTTGCTTTATATGTATAGAAGGAATGGTAGAATACCAATCTTCTGTCGGCTATTTGTAAAAAATAAAACAGATACTAATTAAGATTTTATAGGTTCATCTACCTAAAGATGATATGACACATACTGTTTGAAACGAATACCAATTAATACTTGACAAGGAACACCCTTTTGAAAGCTAACAGAATATATAGATTCTAGGAGATTCGTAGAAAAAGCTTATATCAGGACGTTTTGGACATTTTAATCTTATAAAAAAAATAAGATTTACAAGAAAACTTTCAAACACAAGATGATCTAGCAGCATTTATTCTCCTCGAACAACACACTCATGCTTGATATGATATATCATAAAATACAGAGGGGCACGCATGTGTGTGTTGACATTTTTGTGTAAGAGTGAGGCAAAAGAAAAGAAAATCGAACAGAAAAATTCTGATTGAATGAAATTATTACTTGTTGTTTCACGGTATTAGTGGTCAGTCTTGTAATTTGTTTAAAGAAACACAGGATCAGGTGCCTCTGATGAGACAAGCTTCCCCCGTCAATGGTGTTCACAAAACAGTGTTGAAAACAACACATTCAGATCAGATCTGACGAATAGACACACTATATACAAAAACAAAATACCCCTTCCCCCTGCGACTAGAATTAGAACTGTGGATTGTATTAAAAACTTATGTCAATGTACTGAAAAAGGCTTCTCAGAATAGTAAATCAACGTGCAAAGATAGAGCACACCTTTTAATTAAAATTATTTATAAAATTATTTAATCGATCAATCTTTTTCTTATATAACCAAGGGACAAGATACTTATAGCTCAAGATAAAATTAGTAACTGACCAGGAAAAAATGCAAAAAAAAATGTAATAGATAAGGCCTTGTGAAACCGGGAAAGAGGGTATGCTTTTCCATGCCTTAATTAAGTAGAAATCAAAAGAGATTGTTCATTCTTCTAAGCATTTTCTAAAATAAGACTTTTAAAGCTGACGTGAAAAAATCCCCTTCATTCACAACTTCCGTTTCTGTGAAAATTCCCATTAAGCAGCCAATGGAGGAAGCCGTGGAAAACTGCAGGGTCACTAATGCGTTTTCCCGGAAGCGTGAACATTACAAGGACCAGAGCTTGTTGGCATCCAGTGCTTGGAATGATATTCTATCACGCACAATTATTAGAGCAAATAGCGAGCATTAATTGAGTTTATATAACTTTAAATGAGGTTATATATTACACTTGAACTGTGTACCAATGACAAGGCAACGAATGGAGGGTCATCTCACAAAACCTAGCTATAAATAATACAAATCAAGAACAGGGCAAAACGTGGTCCTTTCCTAACACCAGAGGTGAAAAAGGTGCTTAGACGGAATGAAATCCCACCCAATAGAGTGTATTTGCAAACAATGTCATTTTATAACGATTACAGAATTTGCTAAAGTCCTATTATAAACGAAATTATTGAAATCCCTGAGTCATCATTTTATTTTTCAGATGCTTGCCTCGGGTTAACAAGCAACTGTGTAAAGAACGTGCGGACAGAATCAGTTGGTAGACGTAGACATCATGTGCAATGTTGAAAAAGGAACA